GGACTCAATATACAATATACCAATCTTGGGGATGCCTACTGACACCATGCCCCCGAGAGTCGATTCACACAAGTCATATCTTGTGGAGATACCCACCAGGGACGACTGGTCAAACGATCGTATAGTACGGAAAAATGGAAGCTTAAAGTGGTACACTGATGGCTCCAAATCCGGCCCTGAGGTAGGTTGTGGAATTTATGGAGAAGCCCCAAGGAAGCCTATAAGTCTGAACGTGGGAAAGTACTCCTCAATATTCCAGGCGGAGGTGTACGCCATTTTGGAATGTGCGGCAGCCAATCTGCAAAACAACTACCTCAATCGTACTATCTACATTCACTCTGATAGTCAAGCTGCACTCTTAGCACTAGCCTCCGACGTAAGTAGATCGAAGCTGGTCGAGAACTGCAAACAGACATTGAACTCTTTGGGCAACAACAAAGTAGTTCTACGATGGGTTCCGGGTCACGCTGGACACGAGGGCAATGAACAGGCGGACAAACTGGCGAAGAAAGGTGATAAAGGCCCTTATAGGACCAGAACCTTTCTGTGGCATCCCTCAAAGCTTATCCCAGCTAACCTTGAAAACGTACTGCCATTATGCAGCTATCAACTATGGAGAAACACTCCCGGTATGAAACACTCTAAGACCCTGATTAAAACCTTCAACAAAAAGGCGGCATCAGAGGTATAAATATTTATTTATTGAATTTGTATTGTAGTACAAATTATAGAATCGTATGTATAGACATTAATTTAGAGACTAACTTTGAATATAATGAACATTTGATATTGAAGATTATAAAAGCATAGACAAAAAAGTATTTACGTTGCACGCAACAAGGACGTCTCCATGATCGACGTATAATTCGCGTTAGTATTTTATAATAGTACCATAATTTGCACCTGTTATACGTAAGCCTATCTACAATCTTACCATATGTACAACTCGCTCGTGGCTCATGGTCCTTCGAACTGGATCTTAACATTAATTTATTTTCTTAATTAGGAAAACAAACAGTAGTTTACAATTTATATAAAATCGAACCTTATTTAATGCATTGTCCTGACAGTTCCATAATTAACATGCTATCGGGGAAATAGTTACCTAGTAGAAACTAAACTCATTAGGCATATATCTTAATGAACTATAACGCTCCATCGAGTCTTCGAGATCTTTCTAAATTAGTTGATTAAAGGTAAATGCTTACGGAATATCCATTCTAGTGTTGCACGTTCAAGATATATTCGCCTAGGGTCGCAAATATTTTATGGTACGTAAAATTAAAAGAAAGCAATTAAAGGAAAGCTTTTAAAAATCTGATATTTTATCATTGCCTTCTGTATAGTAGGTATTTTATTAAAATTCATTTCATAATTTTATAGTGATCTTCGAGCCCGATGATTTTGTAACGGTGAGAAATAATTGTTTAGTAAAAAATTATTTCTACGAAAAATGTCTCTATTCTTGGGTTGGAGAGAGTCTTGTAATAACTTCAGGTAAGCATTATAATGTAATGATTTCTTATGTTTTCACGAGCACTAACCATAAATGAAACAACTTTTAAACGATTTCATCAAGTTTGTATTTAATTTTATTGACGTTTCGGACTCTTAACAGGTTCTGTGTTCTCACGGAATGTTAGTTACATGTTATATTAAAATAAGTTTTTATCCAAAAATTACCCTCTACGTAATAAAACGAATGTTCCCTACAAATTTCAAGTCTTTACGACCAGCGGTTTAGGCAATGCGTTGTTTTTCAGTCAGTATGTCAGGACATCTCCTTATAAATAAGATGTAAAGATCCACCAAGACTAAAAAATATAGAAATAAAAAGGAAAATCTATTTTTGTTTTTTTTTGTCTGTACTGAACTCTCGGTACGAGGTTCGGATTTGCATTTGACCGGTTTAACTACCCGAAGATAATAGGTAGTATACGGATCTTTTACTTCAACTTAATATTAAGAACGTTAAATTTTAATTTAATGACAATTCTATAAAGTTTAATTTGTTACGTAGGTACCGTCGTGGTAAACCCGCATACCTATGATTGACACGAGGAAAAACAATTATACGTTAATTAAAAGAACAACTAATACTTTGTAATAGAAGAACACATAGGTATATAAACTTACTAATCAGAACTTTTTTCGTAGGTGCTGAATGAAAAAGGTGTTATCAGCTGCTAAACTCCTCATTTAGTAAGAATGTATTAAATGGATACATCAATGTATACGAGGGTCAAAACTGAAAGTTCTTAGAAAATCAAAAACTGATTACATTAGCCAGTTATTAGTTTTATTATATCTTTTCAAAATATTGTCCATTCACGTCAATACACCGCTGCATGCGATGGAACCACTGGGAAAAGCACTTTGCCCACTCGTCCTTAGGGGTCTCTTCAATGGCATCGCGATACGCAGCCACCGCTTCTTCAGCATTCATAAACCGCTTTCCTTTAAGTTTTTCTTTAATTTTTGGAAATAAATAAAAATCACAAGGCGCGAGGTCGGGGCTATACGGCGGGTGACCCAGTAATTCAACGTTTGATGTCGCCAAATAGTCGATCGTTCGCTTGGCGGTGTGCGACGAGGCGTTGTCGTGGTGAAGGAGGATCCTACTGCGAGGTCGTTTCTCTCGAACTTTTTCCAAGACAAGTGGCAAACAATTGGTAGTGTACCATTCTGCAGAAACTGTTTTTTGATCCTCTAACACAATTGTTGCAAAATGACCTATCCTTCCAAAGAACGAGGCCACCATTTTTTTTCCCGCACTTCGATCTCTCTTCACTTTAGTTGGCAACTCCTCGAAAGGAAACACCCACTGAGCAGATTGTCTTTTGGTTTTAGGATCATAACAGTAAATCCAGCTTTCGTCACCTGTTAGTATGTCGAACACAGCATTTGAGTCACCTCCGTTAAATCTTTCAATCATTTTACGACACCAATCCACACGATGGAGTTTTTGAGCCTCAGTCAAATTATGAGGTATCCACCGGGCGCAAAGCTTCCTGACCGCTAAATGTTCGTGGAGGATTTTGTGCACTTGACTCATACCGATGCCTAAGCTTGTCCGAATCTGTTGATAGGTCACTCTTTTGTCAGTCTCTATCATACGCCGCACAACACAGATGTTATCTTCAGTCGTCGCCGTAGAAGGCCGTCCCTCACGTAAATCATCAGTGAGATTAGTGCGACCACGTTTAAACTCATTAAACCAGTTGTAAACAGTCGCACGAGATGGGGCTTCATCGTGAAAGGCCAATCGTAGTCTATCATAACTTTCTTGTTGACTTAAATGACATCGAAAGTCATAAAAAATCATTGCACGAAAATTTTCTCGTGTTAAATTCATGATGACGTGACACAGACAATTTTCAATTTGCCGCCAAATCGTAAAACAAATGACAAATGAATGAAATATATACTCAGTAATATTGGCAAAGAGTTATATTTTCAAATTTTAGAATTATTTTTTTATTATATTGTTTATAAGTGGCCAGTTCTAAGAACTTTCAGTTTGACCCTCGTATAACAAGCAAGCTAAAGGTTTGGCTAGCAAACTAGCTGGGTTGGCAGGTAAAGGAGAATTTGATCCTAAGGAATATCTTGAACGTGCAACACTAGAATGGATATTCCGTAAGCATTTACCTTTAATCAACTAATTTAGAAAGATCTCGAAGACTCGATGGAGCGTTATAGTTCATTAAGATATATGCCTAATGAGTTTAGTTTCTACTAGGTAACTATTTCCCCGATAGCATGTTAATAATGGAACTGTCAGGACAATGCGTTAAATAAGGTTCGATTTTATATAAATTGTAAACTACTGTTTGTTTTCCTAAATAAATAAAATTAACTTATGTTAAGATCCGGCTCGAAGGACCATGAGCCACGAGCGAGTTGTATATATGGTAGGATTGTAGATAGGCTTACGTATAACAGGTGCAAATTAGACGTTGAGTTGTGGTACTATTATAAAATACAAACGCGAATTATACGTCGATCATGGAGACGTCCTTGTTGCGTGCAACGTAAATACTTTTTTGTCTATGCTTTTATAATCTTCAATATCAAATGTTCATTATATTCAAAGTTAGTCTCTAAAGTAATGTCTATACATACGATTCTATAATTTGTATTACAATACAAATTCAATAAATATATATTTATAATACAAATATATAACTGTTCCCTTGAGCTGAAGTCGGCTACTTCTGTGAAGCATTTCAACGACATCAACGGGACTTCGCCGCTAACCCACGCCCCTTTCACCGGACTACCTACACCTAAATACTCATCGTTGTCACTACTTACCTCATAATCCCTCTTTTTTTAATAAAAAAAGAATTTTACTGATTGATTACAAATATACAATTGAAGGTCCACAGTCATAAAATGGACAAAGTGAAGAATAAATGGAATAAAACTAAAAAGCTAATCGATATGAACATAATTAGTGATATGTGTATCCAAAGAACAATAACAATGCGAAAGGTTAGTTACGACAGGCAATCAAATAAATTTCCGAAATGATACTAGACATCGTATCCGTGATCCGTTTTCTCTGTGTCTCTCATTCCTGCAGCGCACTTCCTATGTAGATTGCATTCTGTACGATATTATAATAGTATGTGCAGATTCAATATTTTTTTATACTGCACTCCGTAGCCGAGTGGATCACATTCCGATTTTAAGATGTCACCATGCCTGAGTTAACGAGTTCGATTCCCGGTCGAATCAACCTTAAATTGAATTTTTCTTTATTGTTACTTCTGGGTGTTGTGCGGTACCTTGATTTTTTCAGAATCACATACTACGTACATAATAGGCTTTAAAGCTTAAATCTTATAATCTGATTAGGTACAATTTTACCGTTAAAATGTAAATATTTTGTTTATCATATTTATTAGGGAAATTAGTACAAATGTTGGTATTAGATTATCAGGTAATTAATAAAACCATCTTATTTTTTATTTCAACCACAATAACTTTTTTTCTTATCTTCGTTTTTGTAAACTAACATGATGTCCACTATAGGAAGATAGAAATAGTTTTTGCTTGACTGCCATCTTTACACCATTTGTAGATATAGCATATTCTTTCATTAAATTTATAAGAAGAATCTTCATAGCTGTCAGCGAAAACAGTTTTCCTATAAAGAAATAAAATAGCACTATAAATTTTATCTACATATCGATTTAAATGGATATATATATATATTTACCTATATCAAATTATTCGTTCATGATATATAAATAATAATTTTAAAATCAGTCCAGTACTTTTGGAGTCTATTAAATGCAGACAAACACACAATCAAATCTTAAATTTAAAAAATATTTAATTTTCTACCTGATTATAAAATTTCATTCAATGTGTATTTTTTGAAAAATTATGTCTCAAAAATTATATCTTCCCAAAGAGCAGAACACTTTTTTTACTACATTACAATTGTTATTTATTCTGCGCTTTAAGAAATTATAACTTTGTAGTCGGGTAGTTTCCCTCCCTATTACACACGACTGCACGTCTGGTTACCAAATTTCTGCAATGGATTTTGACTTCTACCATTTATGAACTATGGTTGAAGGATATATAGTGCCGTTGATGCAGTTAACTGTATAAAAAATAATATCAATAAAAGCCCACTCGGCACACCCACCACACCCATAGTTATAAACAATTTATAAAAACCCATTAAAACCTATCACACGGTTTCTGAATTGAGAATTTAAAGTTAAGAACATCTCAAACTGTAATTAAACAGTTTTGTTTTATTTTTTTAATGATCAGTTGATAGCAGTTTTATGAAACTAGGGGTTTTTGACCCATGAAACGTAAAAAAGTTAAGTTATTGTGAATAATACTTTTCTCAATTCAGAAAACGGCTGTAACTCTATTAACAGAACAAAGGGAAAACGCAGACACGGATCTACCTAAGGACGAATCTACTTGACGGGCTTGAACCCAGGGCCCTGTGAATATAAAGGGCCCTTAACCTTCCATAAAAATACTATACGGTACGGTACTTTTACATTAGGAAAACAGTTTCTAAACAAAATGACATTTGCTTCAATAATTCATAGGCTCCTGAGTAGTATTAGCCCAGGGCCCCACAAATTCACAATCCGCCCCTGGGAAAACGGAAATGGAAAAGCCTGCACCCTCCCAAGTCCCAAGTCGGGATATTAATGTGGTGTGTACTTTCCTTGTGAACGTTAATAAACTTACCGATACAATTTCGTTTTCCTACACCGAAACTAGCAAACGCACTCGGAGCTGCATCGCTTAACCACCTCTCTGGGTTGAAGCATTCCACGTCAACACCCCATTTGGGATGACGGTTCATTGCGTAGACGCACACCATGCAATTACTGTTAGATTTGATAGTATATTTACCTACACAAAATATAAAAATAAAATGTATATAAAGAATTTTCTTTCTCCTTAAAAACACACTATATATACACAAACGTATGTAGATACATGTACCATAAGGTACACTAACGACAAAGTAAAAAAAAATAATTACATTAGGTACATAATAATTCTTTAGCCGGCTAGTGGAGAATGAATATTGGCACTACGTCCACGATTTGTATGTTTTCTTGTGCTTTTTAATAAATAATTGAAATTATGTGGCTTGAAGAGGTACCTACTCGTTTTGATTTTTTTACGTTGCGATAGTGTAAGTGCTATACCGTGCTTATAAAATGTGTCTACGTAAAATACTACCATTAAAATAAGCTGTAAAAATTCTCGTTTTATATATACCTAATTTGTCAAGATAACTTGACCGATTTTTAAAGTTCTTTCACATACGGGTGTAGCTGCATCATATGGGGTTGACATAAACTATAATTTACGCGTGCGAAGGCGCGGGACAATAGCTAGTACTCTTTAAAAGTATAAGCTTGAATTGTAGTGAAATATAATGCTACGATGGAACTGGCATATTTTATAAGACCCTAAATAAAAATAGAAAAAGAGAACTCGATATTTTTTTAAATTAAGTAGGATATTTTTAAATCATCACTAATTAAGAATGAATTTATTTTATGTCTATAAATCAATTAGTTAAGTATACTTACTTAGAACGATTTTTTTATCAACTAATCTTGGTAAAATCGTAATCGGAGGATATAATCTCAAAGTTTCCATAATAACAGCATCTAAGTAAAGAAAATTTGACAAATCTTCTATTTTAATAATATTATAATTTTGTGATAAAAACATAATTCTGAAAAAGAAATAATGTGGTAAAACAAACAAATTAACATATTAATTATTATATATAGAGTTAGGTAGTATTAATTACGAGTATATTTTCTTTTAGTCAGTAACGTAATAGGAATGACAAGTGGCTAAAAAAAAATTATATTTAGTCCATCAGTCAGATAATAGAAAAATATTAGATGCGTATTTTATTGCTTCAATTTCAAAAAGAATTACTGTAGTATTTATTTTTTATAAAGAAAACATAGTAAAATCTTGAAAATATAACTGATATTGGAGATTGCTCTGTCTACGTCATAAATATTGTTTGTGTCTGGGGTGGAAGAACGCAAAATTGTTAAAAATCAAACAAATACTTACTCATCATAGACTTTTTTTTGAACCCACTCATGAGAACCCAACAAATATAAAATATTAATCAAAGTGTTGGACAATGAAAAGTATCCATTGAAAATTATTGTGATTATTTCTTTTATGACATCATCTTCAGTGTAAATATTTTCGGCTTGTAATTCCAAAAGATGGTCTAACAGTGCTGCAAAATTTAAGACGATACGGTTACGGTTATCCAAATTTAAAAGTATAACATCGCTATTCTCGACATTCAATTACAAAATGAGGAACATTTGGCCAAGAGTAGCTGCAAATCGAATTCAGTGAAAGATTCAATCCTTCGCCATTAGGTGCACTGAGCCAAGAAATATTATTTTTATAAATTATACAATTTATACAATTTAGTTCGGAAATAAAAAGCTTTATCACTATCAAATTGCAAAATTACCTCTCAAATTAGCGCACCTTTTACTATGTAAGTATACAAAATACCACCAACCTTTGTCTTCGTTACTGTTTCGCGCAGCATCTGTAATAGATTGCGCTTTATTTTCCTTTTCCGCCATTTTTCTTTTGATATTCTAAAAAAATATTTTATACAAAAGATGTAAAACTTCTCAAAAACTTTATATTAGTTTATAAATCATAGACAGGTATACTCTATATAAAAAGAAATTTAATAATTTTGATACTGAATTCTTACATTTTCACACGCATTATTATTGAACGAAGCATTATTAAACATTAAACATTAACGGTTTCAGCGCGTTTGTATTTGCTTTCATGACGTTTCGGACACTACAGTTTTTATAAGTGAATATGGAACCTGTAAAGGGTCATAAACGCCATGAAAGCTATTATAATCACGATAAAACCGTTTAAAGTTGCTTCATTTATTTAATAATTCTGACATATAATAAGTATAAAATAAATCGCCTATTAAAATAGCAGTAACACCTAAATTCCAAGCATCATTCGCTCTGTTTGTTATAAGCAGCTTTCTTGACAAGTATTTTTTAATATTTGACTTGTGACTTTATTGTAAAAACGCCCACAGAGACATCCGGATTAATAAACTTATTAAAGTCTAGTGATAGGCGACGATAATTATTCCTTATTTTTAGAATTAAAATTTGGGTATATAATTAAACACTTTTATAGAAAATTATAAAAACTTAAAATCCCGGACTTTACTCTCAATTGGAGGCATGCTCGTGGTTATTTGCGGGTAGGCCTCTGCCCTATGCAGGAGAGTGTCCCACACTCCCTATCGTCCCCTTAAGTCGCAGGAATTTTCTGTCTTTAAAAAAAGGTTTACCTACTTACATCATTAATTACTTCATTTAGTATCCTTATCGCCTCATTTAATTTTGATTTACTTTTTGTACAATTGAAAATAACTTTATTGTGCAGGAAAATATTGCTGTGTCTGATATATAGTACACTATAAATATTTTCCACAGATTTCACACATAGATCAACATTTTTGCCAAATTCTTGTTCGTTTTGATTTTGATTGACGATGGTTGCTGAAAGAAAGTACGTGTACAAAATATACCGTATACTTTACAAAAAATGCAATCAAAATAAATAAGCAATTCACCGAATAGGTATCCGAAGAATGTCATGGGTTATTTATCAGTTATGAATGACGAGGGGTTCATTCAACCTATAATTCATATTTTCAAGAATATCCCTTGCTATACAGCGTAGGCAGAGAATATAATGCTACAAAAATGACAATTTTTAAAGTTTTATGTTTAGTCTAGTCCCACTTTCACTTCATCAAATACATTTTTTATTGTAGTCTACATACAGAACGTCTAGTTATAATCTCTACCTGATGTAACAGCACATCAGGTAGAGATGGATAATTGTGATAAATTCCGAACTATGTCAATACAGTAATTAAGTCTTAAAATCAATAGGGGCAATCCTAAGGGAAAATTGGATTATTTGTAGTGACTTGAAGTGCTGTCACGCGCAATTTCTTACTGGGAGAATTCAAAAATAAGCCTATAAATATCGTCTTGTATAGTATAGTACTTACTCATACGAATGAATATCGTCGGTGATACTGCAATATGTTCCATGTCCAGAAAAATCGTTATTGTTTTTTTTTAATGCAAATGATCAAGTACGTGTATCCGAACACACTTGCAAATCGTTCTAAGTCGTCAGCCAATCACAAAACAGTTTTGATTGTGTTGCAATATGTCACTGTCAAGGCTTGTCAGTTGTCTGGGTACTTCAATAGGTTCTATGTCGGTACAACGGTTTTTGGTAAGTGAAAATTATAAAAAATTGTGGTTTCGAGAAAATAATTTCAGGTAAGTTGACAATTAATTATAATCCAATGTTGCTTAATTGCACTACAACTGTAAACAACGTAGAAAACGAGTAAAAAAACTTACATTTTGTGCAAAACCAGCAAGAAAATTTGTTCAGCTAGGTACTTGTAAATTATTTTTTGTTGAATCCCGGTAGTGCGTATTTTTACGGCATCCAGCTTTGTATTCTTTCACGATTAATAAAGACTTTGGTGATAAAACAATCTAGACATACGATTATTTTCAGTTAGCACATTGACATAGAACTTATTGCAATAAAATAATTTTTGGTTTTGGATGACATAGCACATATTGCAACTTATCTTAATGTATGTTTTTGTAGAAACAATGGATCGTTGCTATCGTGGAAGACGTATGGTTGAATTATCACTCCAGCACAAGAAATCTTCGATCGATGAGTCAAGTTCGGGGAGCTCGGGGGCTATTTTGGATGAGAAGACTGGAAAACTCCGAAATGTTAAATGCTTTAGTCCTCAAAGTAGAACTCATTCATTTCATAGTTCTTTAGAGTTTTCTTCTGAGTCCGATTGCGTTCCCAGTGAAGATAGTGATATAACATTTCGTGAATATCAAGATGATAATGGTGAGCAAATACTAGATCCTTCTACTGGATTGTTCACTGTGGCTCAAAATGGTGATTGTCGAGCAAAAAAACGTCGCAACAGAGGGCAAGGCGATCGAACGCAATGGAAACGGCAAAAAAATGCAGAAGCAAGATTAAAAGGAGAAGCATACACCGGTTTCGTAAAAGATGAGAGGGGGAAGTACGTACAAATAGCTTGCAAACCAGCAAAGAGCTTAGGACAACGTTGCAGAGGACATATTCGCGTAAAAAGTCATCGTGAAGCTAAGCAGTGTTTCACTTGTGATGATATAACGGAGCTTCAACGAGAAACCATATTTAATGACTTCTGGAAGTTGCGATCTTGGGAAGCCCGGAAAACTTTAGTTCGTAGCCTTGTTTTAAAGAACGAACCACAATATCGCCGAATATCTGCACAAAATGACACTAAAAAGAATATTACCCTGAAATATTACTTAATTACATAGACAGGCGAAAGTAGCGCTAAATTTTATGTCTGCAAAGAAATGTTTTTGTCAACCTTAGGGATTGGGCGAAGGCAGCTAAGAGATTGGTTGGTGGCCACCGCTGACAATATAACTATACCCAATAATATTGCAGGTGATAAAGAAATGTCTGTAATTGCGTTTTTGGATAAACTTCCCAAAGTAGAATCTCATTATTGTAGGGCGTCGTCGAGAAAACTATATTTAGAGCCAGTATGGGATAGTTTCAATCACATTTTTGAAGTATATAAAAAGAGTTGCGTCGAGGAAAATAAAATTTATTGTTCAAGGCGCTATTTCTTGAAAATTTTTTGTAACCTTAATTATGATATTTTTAGTCTCAGAAAGGACCAATGCAATAAGTGCATAAGTTTTAAACAAGGTCACTTGTCTGAAACGGACTACAATGCTCATCAGACAAAGAAACAGAGAGGGAGAGATGAGAAAGAAAATGACAAATGTAGTACTGATAACCAGACATTAGTTTATTGCATGGATGTGCAAGCTGTTCTACTTTGTCCAAATCTTCAAGCTTCCGCAACTTACTATAAGACAAAGTTAAAAGTACACAATTACACCATTTATAACATGAAAAACAAAGAAGCTGCATGTTATATTTGGCACGAAGGAAATGGTGGCTGAGAAAGCGATGTATTTGCTACTAGTTTATGTAAACACCTAATGCATGATATTGATAAGTTTAAACCAACTGAAATCATACTTTGGAGCGATGGGTGCGGCTACCAAAATCGTTGCTTGACATTGGCTAATGCTTTGCTTGAGTTGGCTATCGAAAATAATGTTACCATAAAATAAAAATATCTCGAAGTCGGCCACACGCAAATGGAAGTAGATTCTATACACAGTGTAATAGAAAAGAAATTGCGTGGCCGAAAACGAGATATTTTTATTCCAGCCGACTATGTGAGCATAATTAGGTCTGCTAGGCAAAATCCCGAGCCTTATAAAGTATTTTATTTAACTTTCAATGATTTTTGTAGCTTTTCCCAGGGTAAATATAAGAGTTTGAGACCAGGCAATAAAAAAGGCGATCCTTATGTTACAGATATTGTGACATTACAATACGATGCATACGGTATAATAAACTATAAAACTGACTTCAATGAATCTTGGGAAACATTACCTAGGAGACCACTGGTAACTGCTCCACTTCGCCTGAGTGAACGCCCTTCCCTGTATCGGAAGCCACTTGCTATAGAAGTAACCAAATTTGGGCATCTTCAGGAAATGAAGAACCTCATTCCTTCAGACCATTACGGATTTTATGATTCTCTAGAACATGGCTGTTCACGTTCGTAAATTAGTTTAGGACATACTTTAATATTGGAAACTTAATTATGTTATGGCTAGAAAATTAGTTTAAGTATTACTTTAGCCTAATAAGGTTAGAATATAGGCAGCAAACATTTTTGAATTTTTTTTTTTGTTTTATTTAATACCCAATTTTATTCTTTAATTACGGTTATAGTTATTTTACTATTTCAATATTTTACTACCATTATAACAACATTAATCAGATTTTTTCAAACATCAATATGTTTTATGTCATAAGAATATGTTAAATAATTCATTGCAAATTGTACTAAGTCGAATTATTTCCACATTTGAACTATACTCAAAATTCATTCACATGTTATTTAATAGCTCTTAATTATGTCACAGCACCACGCAATCATCAAATACTTACCAACTAATACAAAGTAGAAAAACAGTTTTTTGACTCTACTATAAAATCAGGTTTAGCTGACATAGTACGGCTTGCAGTATCACCGACGATATGACACCTGAAAGCCTAATCTAATTCCACGAAAAAGAATTCTTCGATAATTTATGATGAAATAGAGGTAGAATCTGACACTGCACAGATGCACACATAATCTTCATAGATATGATAAACAAAATTATAAGAACCATTCGAAATTTCCGAATTTCCTTCGAGATCAAATGGCATAGGCCATTGGGCCATGTTAATACGTACGAGTTAAAAGTACTTATTCGCACTTTTACTTATCTTTCTGGAATTGACGGTCAGTTGCACAAACTTCGATTAAAATTGTCATTTGCAGGTGTCCTACTTACAAGTGGCTGTAAGTAGGACACCTGCAAAGCCACTCTTCACTTTTAAA